AGTCTCGTTTGGTAGGACCAGCTTTTTTAAATTGCTCGAGCTTATTTCATAAGCTACTTTAGGTAGTTTTTCAAATAAGCTAGTTGAATTTTTTATTTCAGCTAGCTTATCAGCTAATTTACCAAACACCTTTTATCATATAAGCTAGCTTATCAGCTATAAGTCATAAGCTATAAGTTATAAGCTCAAAAATTACATATAAGCTATAAGCTAGATTATTAGTTATCAGCTAGCTTATCAGCTTGTTTTACCAAACATAGCCTAAAACTCACTAAAAAAACTAATTTGTTGTCTTAGGAGATAGATTTTTTACTTGATAAACTATAAATTTAAAAACTTTTAGAAAATATCTGTATAAAGTTGGCCATGTCACAGATTACAAAGAAGGCCACTTCCCCTACAATCTCATTCACCCCAAACGGATCCATCTCAAAATTTCATGTTGCAGCATTAGCCACACACAATTCTTGTCAAAAAAATTGACCAAAAGCATCAAATTTAGCCCCAGGCAAACTAAATTACCCACTTCTATATAAATAGATCGGTCGAACAAAGCTACATCGAGCCACTTCCCAATCGAACACTAAAGTTCCATCCCTCCTCCCCTCTCTACTTTTACACCCACCGGTAACAATAACTAAAAGTTACCGTTTTTACAATTCAGGCTCGTCATGCACCTTCTCATCATCTCGTCTGGACACCTCGTTTTCTCTTCCAAAACCATCTTTCTTCTCAACGTCAACATCAGCAGAACATGAGTTTTCTTGTTTTCCAGCCTTGTTATTCCCTTCGACTTTCCCAGGCTCGGCCCAGAACTCGTCCATCCAGCTGGCATCCAAATCCCCGTCACCCAAAGACTTCACCATCGATCCATCATCATCCTTGTCATCATCTCCATCCTCAACCCCACAGAAAAAATAGCATTCCCCATTTTGGCCCGGGGCCTCGTCGTTATACACCGAATCAAGATCCTCCTCCCGCCTCTCATCGTCATCACTATCAACCTCGAGCACGAACGACCTATTCTGAGCGGCCCGCCTCCGTAGCATGAACACATTGAAGTAGTAGCTGACGAACTCCCTCATCGTTCGGGCCGGGAACTCGGCCCGGAGGTGCTCCCAGAACACAACACGGTTGGATAGGACAATCTCGTGAAAGGCCCGCTCCTCGTCCTGGCCCCACTTTCGGGCCACCTCCTCCCCCATCTCGTCCAAACCCAGCTTCACGAAATTCTCGGGCCCGACTGAGTCGAGTAGCTTTTCCCTTGCCTCCTTCACATGCTGCTGCACGCACCTCATGGAGCCAGTGTCAAGGCAGGTGCAGGCAGCCCGTCCGAGCCCAACCAGGGTCGAGTCATTTATGTCGGGCATAGAGATAATTCGGGTCCCCATCAAGGGAAGTTCTTTCTGGCTGGCGCTCGGGTCCCATGTAGGGATTTGAGCTTGGTAGTCCGGCCCAACTGGGACTTCCTTCCTGGGAGGCCCGTACAGTAAGGAGATGTACGAGTTCTGAAAACGTTCGGTGGGGCGCCTTGGTATGCTGAAGTCGTTTTCTGGGAAATAGGGCCAAAAAGAGGTGGGTCCTTCTCCACAATCTTCTTCCTCACTACTGCTGCTGGAGACTAGAGAAAAGGGTGCACTCGGCTCGAATTCTCTGTCAGCGGTGTAAGCGTCGTCTGGCTCGTCGTGCTCGAGAGGTTCATCATAATGGAACTCATAGGGAGCATTCTTCGCTCCACCTAGCGAGATATAACCTATGTAAGACTTGCATAAGTTTGCGTTAAACTATGGTTGATAAAGATATTTCCAGTTACCAATAGCAACAAAGGTGAGTGCTTAATTTAACAATTTAATAAACAAATTATGTAACAATATATACTTGAAGAACCATTTTTTTTTTTTTTTTTTCAAAATATGGATATAAGGGTAAAAGAATATACACCACCGTAGAACACAGTTTACCAGGAAAATCAGCTTTTGGAGTACTTATGTGAGATTCATCTATATTTAAATTGAGCCTTTTGTTATAATCAAGCGGTTTAGGTAGGCTGAAAGAAGGCTCTGGAAACTCTTCCACATCTAATGGACGTTTGATTCCCATCGTCTGAATGATAGGGACAGAATGTGGACAAATTCAAGTACGATAGTTTCTGGAAAGTAAAAAAAAATTCAGCATTTATTAGATATAAGTACACAGAGATGATAATGTGATAACAGGACACAGGTGAGAAGGGCAATAAAAATAAAAAAAAGGCTAAACGTGTCGTGTTGTCACCAACATTAATGCTTCTGGATAACTCTACATATGGCTTAAACGCATTTGTGCTCCCACATATCAACGCGAGATAAATTAGATAACAAGTGGAAAAATATCTTTAGAAAAAACAATCTTGCAGTTTAGCAAACATACGGAAACCAGATTAAATTGCAATCACAAACCCTAACCAAATGAAGCCACAAATTAACATAATTAAGGAAATCACTTTGACATATTATCTCCGCTAAAAGAAAAGGCATGATCAGTTAAATACAATTAAATAAAGAAAGTATAAGTTAAATACTTAGATTAGCCATCTTCATGAAAAAGCAACTATTATATCAAGTTTGCAACAACTTTCATCACAAAATGGAAGCACATGGATGATGAGAGTACAATGACATTCTCCTTTATTACAAGGCCCCTTACTCTGAAAAGAATAAAATTACACTAAATTATATCACACGCATAAACACACACACCGCAAGTTTAACAAAAGATTGTATATATACCAGTGTTATTAATGGCGGATGGCGGTACATGGCATTTTGCCAAAATTCCGCCATTACGTCCGCCATGGCGGCCGCCATGAACGCCATCATTCACAAATTTTGCATAGCAGATTGTTAAAAATCCGCCACGCCATACCGCCATGGCCGCCATTTGATAACACTGATGTATACAAAAAAAATCTTAATCAATCAGCAAAATCTTAGAAGCTAGGACTTCATTACCCCTTTGAAACTAAATCTCAGTAATTCCCAAAACCCAACCCACCTGATTATGCCCTCAATTACATAACATCTCCAATTCACACATAACAGAAACCCTAGATTCACAAAAAATCAGATAAAAGTACAAAAAAAGACATCAAAACACAATTCAGAGACAGACCTACCAGAACCCTATATCAATTTACCGATCCAAGAAGCTCTACAACAAGCAACCACACGAACACGAAAACCTTATTATATCGACAGATCCCATGATAAAACTACAGCTTCTTAATCCATTAACATGGGGGAAACATGAAATATGCGCTTTAAATAGCAAAAAAAAAAATTACAAACGAATTCGATGAACAAATCGTACAGATCGGAAGATTCGAAGCGAAAACCTAGAATTCCTCGGAGTCGACAGATTCGTATGAAAAATGGATCGATGAACCGATGATAAAGCGATTTGTATCAAATAATAGCTGAATTTGAAGATTAAAACGAAAAATTAAAGAAATTCCTAGACTCCATTAAAGGTGATTGAAAGGAAGGAGAAGAATTGGGGGAAATTTTCATCGGGATCATCGCGCTTTTTTGTAGAGATGAGGAATGAGCCGAGTACCAGAGCCCGGTTCAACCCGCACGTGCCGAAAAACAATATTTAAAAGAAAAGAAAAAACAGTAAACCAGTAGTAAATGACGGTAATCCAACTAGTTTAGGAGTGACTTGTTATTATTACTATGTGCGATCCACGAGACATAGATATTAAATAAGTTATTTTCACAGCTTTATCCGTTTAAGTCTAAAAAGTAACAGGATTATTATTTATTTTCTACCTATTTTAAAGTCTAAAAAACAATAAGGTTATAGTTTTTTTTTCACATCTGACATAGATATTAAATGAGTTATTTTCATTGTCTTGTCTATTTAAGTCTAAAAAGTAATAGGGTTATTATCAATTTTCTACCTCTTTTAATCAATCTTAAGTCTAAAAAACAATAAGATTATAAGCATTTTTTCCACATCGTTTTTTTAGCCAAAACATTAAATATGAACATGTTAGAGCTACCTCGTAAAATAATTAATATAATATCTCACTAAAACATTTATACTAATAAAAACTTAATTTTAGCATATAAATTTATCCATTGATATAAGAGAAAGTAACAGTTTTACTTATTCTTGTTCATCATATAATATTTAATTATTATTTTATTATATAATAACAAGACTACTGTTAAATAGTGTAGTAGAATTGTTATAAAATTATATGAATTAATTTATTTTACAATATGGATTTATTATCTTTATGATTTGGTAATATAACTATAATATATTCTTAATGATATAGTAATATGAGATATGAATTTACACAATACTATGGCTTTATTCATTAATGTTAAGATATTGAATTAGGTAATATCCCCTCTATATATAATTCTCGAATGTGCTGAGCCTAAGTGGCAGGCTCGCATGCTTCGTAATCCTAAGTGTCAAAATTCCATACTTTGTTATTTGGCTTGGATAGATTTAATTTAATTCCAATTCAAAACTAATTAGGTTTGGATTACCATAAATATGCTGATTTATTTATGATCATTTTAGATGTATTAATTGTATTTTAGTATCATTTTCTATTATAACTATTGAATTGTAAATGTATTTTAAATGTTGACAACATTTTGTATTTCTTATCGGTTTTACATATATAATGTGTCAAATGAATCATCTTTTGATGAACTTCGATTTGACATCCATATTGTATATATAAAATAAATAAATTGTATTTATATTTACAATAATAATCAAATATTCATTAAAATTAATTAAAAAATAAAATTATTTCTCAATTAGTATATTTATGTTTAATGTAGTTATATATTATAAAGTAGAAAAATTACTATAATATAACACACATAAGTTGCACAAGTAACAAGTGTCATACTAAAATAATACTAAAAATTACATGAATTTCTCCCTCTAAAAATGCTCCATAACCAAATCAAGAACCAAGAACACCATCACTCTTAAGAACCTTCTTTCAAGGGCTCGACTTCTCTACTTCTCCTCCGATCTCTAGTCGCCATTTTTAAACCATACCTCTCGAAAATATCACCCAAATCAAACAACCCCACCTCCCTAAACTTCCTAGCCATGGACTCGAACATGGCAACACCTTCTTCGTTCGAAAAACAATGCAAAAATTTATTATAATCGAATCTCGGCACTTCAACCCCTCTATCAATCACCCTCTCCACGTACTTGCCCGCATCCAACGGCTTTCCGGCCTTGACCAAACCCCCCACGAAAATAGTATCGAAGTTGACCAAAGGATCCTCCCCTTTTCTTCCCCTCTTCCCTAAATGCCCTTGCAACAACATGATATACGTATGCATTGTAGGCTCACACCCCCTTCTTATCATCTCACGAAAAATTTCCGTAGCCTCGCTCGCCTTTTTTAGCTTCACGAGACCCTTGATCATCCCGTGGTACAAAGATATGTCCGGATTCTCAATGTCTTTGAAGATTTTGTGAGCCTCGTTCACCCTTCCTCGGCTCAAAAGCCCGTAAACAATTGACCCAAATATCTCGTTATCGGGCTCTATCCCTCTCATACGCATTTCGTCGAACACGACGTGTGCTTCTCCCATTTTGGCTTTCTTGCAAAGCCATTTGATCATGAGCTTGTAAGTTGAAAGGCCCAAACACTCGATTCTTTTAGCCCGGGTGTCGTGGAAAAGCTTGAAACCATCGTCAAACTTATTCTTCTTGAAAAGGGTCTCCAACATGACCTCAATCGCGTTCACGTCCGGCTCGAGACCCTCATCCACCATTAAATTCCACAACTTCGAGGCCTCGATTAAGTTGCCCACATCGCAAAAACCGTAGATCAACCATCTGTAGGTAATCGCATCGGGCTTGATCCAATCTTTCAACTTAGTCACAACATGATTAGCCTCCAAGACAAGCTTTTTTTTGCATAAAAACTCAACAACTATGTTAAAGGTCTCAACTTTATACACATACCCGAACCCATTCATCAAATGGAAAAACTCGACACATTTTTTCAGCTCCCTAGCTGCAGCCAACGTTCTTAAGGCAATTATGTAGGTCTTGACGTTGACCAGACGGAGTTGACCGATTTCCCGGCAGAGTTCCCAGAAAAGGTCGATGTTTCTTGATTTTCCGACAGCGTCGAGGATCTTGTTGAAGGTGGTGGGTGTGTGGGCGAAACTGGGTTGGGATGTGGAGAATAAGTGAAATCTGTAAATGGGCTGCCATGAATATGGGAATTTGTTGCAGACTTGGAGGAAAAACTCGTGGCTGAGATCGAATCGCGTTTTGGTGAGGCTGGCATGGAGCTTAGTGTTTGGGGCGTTTTGCTGCTGGTAGAGGACTGTACAGACTCGGAGGAGGTGTGATTCGTTGATCGGTGATGTGGGGTTTGCGGCCGGTGGCGGTGGAGCTCCGGCGGGTGGTGCGGCGGTGGTTAGGGATTGGAGGCGGAGGTGGAGGATGTTTAGGGGAGGTCTGGGGATTTTCGTGAGTCGGAGCATTTGGGAGCCTGCGTGTTGGCAAATTTGAATGTTAAATAATAGGGTAAAAAACTTTTTTGCCATCCGAACTATCACGGTTTTAGCGCTTTATCATATGAACTGTTATTTGCCAAAAACTACACGTTTGTTTCACTTTATCCTCCAAACATATATCATATGAACTGTTTTTTGGCAAACCACCATATAAACTACACGTTTGTTTCACTTTACCCTCTAAACATATATTATATGAACTGTTTTTTTGGCAAACCACCATATAAACTACACATTTGTTTCACTCTACCCTCCAAACATATAAACTATACGTTTGTTTCACTTTGCCCTCCAAAACCGTATTTAAAGTGGTTTTGTAACAAAAATTGCATGGCTCTTGAAATATACAAAACAAATGTTGTATAATTTCTTTAACACGGCATGCAGAAGTAAACGCTTGATGTTGAAGTAAAAGGAAACAGCCATATCAACAACTATTCTAAACATGAGCTTCATTCATATGGATCATGAGTTCACAACATCAACTACTCACATACAAGCTAAAAGGAAATACAAGGAAGTCTTGATGTTGAAGTACAAAACCGAATTCCATCACAAACTATCGATGGCGAGAAGATGAGACTAGTACAAAGTACAAGAGATTCTTAGCAACAAGAACAAAAATCGGGTCAAAAAGTTGTCGGAAAATATAGTAGACACATTCAACATTCAACAACCGACCTTAGTCGCTCGAAAAATTTAGCATTTGCAATTTTCTCAGTGCAATAACCTTATCCTCAGCTTTAACGAATTCCGCTATCAGCTTGGAAACAGCTTCGGGCTTCTCTACATGAGGAATGTGGCCGCAATCTTGTATTTGCCGCAAAATTGCATTCGGTAATTCACTATGTAGTCTCTGTTTAAGTAAAATTCTCACTTTATTTATTTATTTATTTTTCTACCCATGTGTTTGGGGAAATGAAAAACGAAATAAAAATGAAGCGGTACTTACGACTGCAAGCTTATAATCAATAATTTGATCGTTTTCTCCCCATATGATAAGTGTTTTCTGTTTTACCTGCACAACTTGCAAAGTTAAGCAAAGAGAACAGATAAGTACATCAACTATTGAGTTCGTTTTTCACAAACCTGCTTGATTTGAGCACTAACACTATAGCCTCCACTCATCATAAAATCAACAGTAGCATCTGCCCACCAAGGCAATGAACAATGAAGGCGGCCGATCTGAGGCAGCATTTTTGACAAATTAATTGTAGTAATTCGAAGTGACGATATCGAAAATGCCAAATGTTTTACAAGTGTTAGAAGAATCTATTCGTATATAACCTGTCATGATATTCTATATGTTCGAAAGTGTGGCAACTTACATTTGTCCAATCCAAGCAGGTTTCCCAAGGCAATAAACCGTTGAACGCCAGTGATGTTGCATAGATACGCAAAGGTAAGCTCCTTAAGAGATACACCTGCCGAAAAAATATTAACATGAAAACACAAAAATATAATTATCATTCTCGGTAGCAGAGCCACTTAAAAAGATGGAAAAAATGAAAAGAAATATGATAATGCCATAGTAAGTAATGTAAAAAACCGTAACGAATATAGAGAAATCTTGACGGTCAAATTTTTTCCAAGTCGTTCAAGATATTCAACTTAAAAAAAAAAAATCTATGAAGCCCGTGAATATATTAAGAGATAAATATTTGAATATTGTCTCATATATACAAACACAAATGTCAAACTCACCCCAGCATATGCAAGCAATTTAGGTAACTTAGCAAGCTCCCCGGTACCATCGGCATAGACACTTGCATCTATCAAAATCAACTTATCAACCTAAAAATTAAATAAAACAGAAAACACATATTAAAAAAAAAATGCAATATCAGTGACGGTTATAACATGGTTTTTCTTCTTCCTCGTTTTTTCAATAAAACAAAGCTATAAGGATTCATGCGTTTAGTGCTTACAGCTTCTGGATAGGTGACTGCAAAGTCAATGGCAATGGCTGCCCCAAGACTAGGTCCGACTAATACCATTGGGCGTTTGATATATGAACTCCAAAACTGAGAACGAGTAACATGGACACGAATTTGAATCCCAATCGATTCAATTTCATAACCAAAAAAGTAAAGGATAGTGTAAAGTGGACACCTGATAAAGATGATCACGCTTTGAAACAACACTGCATGGAAGAAGCTTCTCTAATATTTAGCAAAATCAGAGAAGAGAAGGTTAACAAGATGCTCTACAGGACGAGAAATCTTTTTCGTTATTTAAACCTCATTATTATAAGAAAGAAAAGAAGATAAAACTTGCCCAAATCAGAGAAGCCCCAGCCAAGCACATCAATAGCCCAGGTTTCTAGCCCATGTTCTTCAAGCAAAGGAAGTGTACATCTCCATTCTAAACACGAGCTGTGACGAATAATAAGTGAATGAACCATGATGAAAAATGACAGTGAAATGTGTTTCAAAAGCTCTTAACAATATTCGACACCCCACAGACCTATCAAAACCGTGAAGAAGAACTAGCGGGCTTGCATCGAGCTGCGTTTTCGGCTTCACGCAGCTACTCATCAGGCAAGTCTTGGACAAATTTAGCTGCAGAAAAGGGGGAAAATAGTAATAATAATAATTAAAAAAAAAAAAAAGTTCCCTCAATTTAACTAAAAAGTAGAAACAGAGAACTAAAAGGGTCTTGGGAAATGGTTACTATTTAGAAATAATAACTTTTAGTACAAGAGGGCTACAAATTCCGGCGGAATGGTTCCGTAACGGGACCGTAGTGTTTCCCTTAAATTACGCATGCATTGCCGCAAATTATAATCCAATAATACCAAGATAACAAAAGGGCATAAAAAATGTGCACAAACAAAGGTCCTGATCTGTGAAGAGTAATTATACTCAAACTACACCACATATCAACCATGCGATGCAAAACCCATTAACAGCACAGGTCAAACGCACAGAGAAAAATGGAAATCGAAGATGCCAATGAGAAAAATCGGAATACGCACAGTTCAAGTAAATTGCTTCACATCCCAATTACACCATTAGAGGAAAAACCCTGAAAAAGGATGTAAAACCTTACATGGACAGGCAACCTCTCGATTCTTGAGGCGAGCGTTCTGGCGAATGGATCCTTAACACTCTCCACCTCCTTGGGAAGAAATGCGGGAAATTCAGCCGCAGAAACTCTGAAATTGTGCTTTCCGTTTGACCTAACGGCCGTGCATTTTCCGGCGTGGAGGAAAATCGGCGGAGCTACGAGGAGACTGGCGGCGAGCATGGTGGGTCACCGCCGGAGTCCCGGCCTAGTAAATGGGACTTGCGTTTTCTTCGATGAATGTGTTGTGATTTGTAAACTGTGAAGTTGATGTCATTCAATAAAATAATTAGAACTCAAAAGTTTAATAAAATAAAAAAAATATAAACAAGAGGGCATTTGGTCTAGTGGTATGATTCTCGCTTAGGGTGCGAGAGGTCCCGAGTTCAATTCTCGGAATGCCCCATTAAAATTTTTCTTTTGGTCAGTTTATTTCGTGAATAATTCTTGCCCCATTTTAATTTTTCTTTCGGTTAGTTTATTTCGTCAATATGTCACCAAATGAACCGAGCCAATAATTGGCTTTTGTCGTGTTAGGCTCGATATTTTGGACTGTTGTTTGAGCTCCTGCTCGAGCTTGAAAAGCCGAACATTTTCAGATTTGGCTCGACTCAACAAAAAAGTAAGCACTCAAGAATAGGTCAAATGTTATTCGAGTTCGACTCAATTTTTTCATGGAAAAAAAAATGATTAGGAGTTTTAAGATAATTTTACGTATATCCAACCAGTTTGTCCAACACTCGGGCTTAGAAACTATAAATCGACTTGATTGAACTCGACAAGACTTGAAATTGTAAATTGTGAGTGCGAGCCTATAAGACAAGGTTTTGATAAAGATAACTTGCCAAGTTTCAATGGGGAGTAGAGATGATGGGCAATGTCCAACAACTGCAAGAACAAGAGAACACCAAAAGAGAGAAGAAGGAAAAAAAAAAAAAAAATGAAATGATAGGAAAAAAGAGGGGAAGAACGTTTATGGATGTTAAAGGTGTGATTGGATATGAATTTGATTTGATTTTGATTGATTTATTTATTAACCGTAGTTAATTTTGAAAAAGATAATACGTTTAGTTGTTGGTGTGATTTTGAGTTTATGTTAAAATGATATTTAAAATAAAATAAATAAAGTTGATATAATTCAGACGTAATAGAGATATAATGTGAAATGATGCTTAGTTAAAATTATATAGGGGATGAATAGTGAAGTAAAATTGATGTGATGAGTAAGAATAATTGATTGATATTATTTAATTATATTAATAATATCGAGTATAGTTGAGTTTGTTAAAGTTGAGTTAAAAATAAAAAAGAAAAGTAGAGGTACAAGAATTAAAAAAAGCAATGTTGCTTCGGACTTCTCAAGTCTTCGGCCTTGCTTACAATGTTGCCTGGCTTAGGTTGCTATTTTCATATCTCTAGTGTGAAGTGTGGCTTGCTTTGTGTTTTGTTATTCTTATTAGTGTGTTTTATTCTCCCATGTGGGAATTATGTTTGTTTTGGTTTTATTTTCATGTTGGTTTTTAGATTCGGATTTAGGGTTTGAGGTGCAGTTTTCCTAAATTTAGCTTTGAAACTGGTTTATTTCACATATTTTAGTTGCTTCTTGTTTTTAAATTTTGTTAGTTATAATCATATATCATTCTGAAAAATAGAAAGGAAAAAAAATGTCGGTGCGAAAAGTAAGGTAAAAGACTTTGATTCAACTATTTTGTTTAACCCATTGTTACACGAGTCAGGTCAGGTTGGGACGGGGCAATGTCAATATTCGAACTTATGTTGTTTGTGAAACAGTGCAGACTCAATGTGGTCTGCCAAATATGAGATGAATCCGACCTACTCCAGATACTTCAAATTGAGTTGGACTAGGCCAAGACAAATCCGAGTTAAACTATCATTCATTGTTCAACTCGCGAACCGGCTTGTTTTTTTTTTCAAACCCAAGAGTTTGAGTACACACATTTTTATTCAAAAATAAGACACATCAAATATATGAATTTTTGGAATATATCTGGATCGTTTTGTGATTTGATTGGGAAAATAGGAGCATGTGGAGTGCGTGAAACACAATGGATTTCTTGGTCTTCCCCGGCAGAGGGCGAATTGAAGGTCAATACAGATGGAACCTTTGTCCCGGTGATGTGGATGGCGAGTGCGGGTGGTGTCATTCGAGACCATTCTGAGAATTAGGTGAGGGGCTTTCTGATGAATATCGGATTATGCTCTATCGTAAGTGCAGAGTTATTGGGGTTGTTTTAGGGCCTCCAGTTGGCTTGGGATATTGGGGCCCGAAGAATTAAAGTTGAGGTTGACAACTGGAGCATCATGATTATGGTCGCGGACGAGTCCTATTGTGGACCTTATGGGAGCATTTTGCAGGGGGTTCGAGAACTAATGGGGCGGCATTGGTCCGTGGAGATTGTGTATGGATATCAGGAAACCAATTTTGCTGCGGACTATTTGACTTCTTTGGCGGCTAAGAGTCCGGGTGGTCTTCACAGGCTGGAGTATCCTCCTCGGGGTGTGGGATTATGGATATGGTCGGTGTTTCCTATCCTCGGAAAGTTCTTAGATAGTTTGTTGCGTAGGGTTGCCTCTTTTTCTTGTACCAAAAAATATAAATAAATAAATAAATAAAAATCAAATATAATCTTATAAGTGAAAAGCAAACATAAGGGTCCTTAGCTCAGTGGTAGAGCATTTGACTGCAGATCAAGAGGTCACCGGTTCGAACCCGGTAGGGCCCTTATTTTATTCATATCTTCTTCCTTTTTCTTTTTTTTTTTTTTTTCCCGATAATTAACTTTTAGGATCAATATATATTTCGCTAACTTTCTTGCACAATATCTAATAACTTGAGTTAGTTGGTATATTAATAAATGAGCTAAAATTTGAAATCTTGGGTTGCTCAGTAAGTATATCAGTAAACTGAGTGTAATTTACACACATGTATTCCAGAATTATTGTATATAAAAATGATGTTTAATATCAGGATAATTTTAGCTAAATAATTTACAGTTTGAACGTCTGGAAACGAAATTAATTTGAACAATTTTATTTGGAAACGAAATTACATTAGCTAAAAATATATATTGACAAAAAGGTCTATTTGGAAAAAAAAAATATTGTATTAAAGCCCCCGGCGAGGATCGAACTCGCGACCTTTCGCTTACGAAGCGAACGCACTACCACTATGCTACGGAGGCGATTTGTGTATTTAGAAATGCGTATAAAATATGGAACTTTGTAATAGAAAGTAATAAGATATGAGCAAACATAGGAGGAGATGAAATCATTGTCCTTAATATTGTAATGTTCGTTCGAACACCAATTTTGATCTATAAATTTATTTTTACCGATCAAAAAAAGTAAAAAATAAAATAATAATAATAATATGATAATATAGTACACACAATTCATTACCATTTATCTGTACAAAAAGATCAGCATCAGATAAAAGCAGCGGGCATGTCTTCATTTGCTAATTATTGGTCCACAAAAGCCCGCAATTTAATTTCATGTGAAACACACAAAATAAAAATAGGGCTAAATAATTAAAAATTAAAATAAAATATCAAAACCAATTTCATTAATTTGAACAATAATTTAGGGAGATTCTACGGTCCTGTGATGGAATCATTCCGTTAGAGTTTGTAACCGTTAGATCAACTATCCACGACGATTATATAATGATCTAACGGTTATAAATCTCGACGGAATGGGTACGCATGATACGCAGCACATGAAAGTCCTCATTCATGTCATGTCATCATATGGTGAGAAAGTCAGACAGAGAATAAAGTTTTGTTTGAAAAATAACATTCCAAAGTAAATAAAAATAAATAAATAAATAAATAAATACTAACAAGAAGCATTCAAAGACACTGCAATAGTGTAAGGGAAATTATTTAATTTGGACCACTTGCGAATTTAAGGAACTTCATTTTGGCTTTTATGGAGATTATAAAATTATATGAATTAAAGGAAAAAAAAATATATATCTGAAATATTAATTTTAATTGAGTTGGGACCAAAACCTTTTCGTGTAGCACTATTATAATTATTATTATTATTATTATTATTATTATTATTATTATTATTATTATTATTATTATTATTCCCATTAGTTAGGAAGTTCAAATTTCTTTGGATGTAAATAATAATAATAGTAGTAATAACAAAAATAAAATAGTAAATAAAATATTGAAAAAGAAAATAGATAAACACACGGGCACACAAAATTTTGGGCCACCAAATTGACTAGACAATTCTATTTGACACTACATTTTCATGACCAATTTATCAAAGTCCATTATCTTTTTTCATGAAATAAATTGGTTTCACCTAGCGCTGCACACCAACCAAGCGACTCGCGAGCGTTCGAGTTAAAGCTAGACTCGAGCTTGAGCTTGACCGAACTCGAGTCGAGCTCGACCCAAATTTTACATTGTCGAGTGGCTCACGAACAGTTCAAGATATATTAATGTTAAACTACTAAAATATCTCTTGTATATGTATGTATCATAATATTAATATATATACTTAATGGTAATTTTACAAAATTGCTTGAATTTTTTTAACCGAACTCGAGCATTTTGAGCCGAGCTCGAGCTATTTTATTTTCTTATCGAATCGAGCTCGATCTCGCAGCTAAAAAAAAAAAGTCAAACCTGCTCGATAAGACCAATGCACGACTCGACTCGTTTGCAACCCTAATTTTACCGTTAAATCGAATAGCGTAAAATAAAGAAACAAATATAATCAAAATTAGGGATCACCCAAACGAACCCTAATAAAATCAACTAAGTTAGGTACTGATTTATTACAAGACAGAACGTGCACGTGAGAGTAGGGTTAGGATGAAAAGCACACAATTATGGCTATTTTTGAAGACGACAATCATTTTTTATTTTTGTTGGTATTTTTTATCCTAAAATGGATAAGAAAATGAACTGGAGATTATTGTATAATCGGACCAGCATGTTTGTCCCATGGTTGAACTTCCCAAATAATAATAATAATAATAATAATAATAATAATAATAATAATAATAATTTCATTTGAACTAAACTATTAATGATAATATCATGTGGTGTACTTTAATTATCTACTAGTGTGATACCCGTGCGATGCATAACCAAGTTTTATTAAAGTAAACATTTAGATTTCAGTGATTGGATTATTGG